CCTAAAACCTACATAGATAGCATACATGTATATAGTGTGTTTATCAATCCCCATACATCATTTCCGCTTATTCCCCCTTTTCTATCATCCTTCCTAGAGAACCCATAAGTGCAGAAAGAGTGGTGAACAATATAAATAAGGGTCAAGTATGAAATTCTTGATGGCTTGATACTAAGGTAAAATACAAGATTTAAGGAAAAAACCTGCTCAAGACGTTGATGAAAAACATCCATGTGAAGTAAACCTAAGAAACCACATCTGTCAACCAGGACAGAAAAGACAAAAAAAAAAAAAAAAATGAGTTCAAAACGCTGGAGAGATAAATGTATCTAAACCGAAGCCTAAGGCAAGGTATCAAGACCTGAATCCCAGACCTAGTGCTGTACTGCTCTCTTTAGTAACAGATACACTGGCATCATTACAAGTCAATCTCTCTATTGCATGGTTGAGAGCCTCAAAATCAGATCCATCAGCTGGATATAGACCAGAAAAAACCATGTGCTTTGCTGGCTTGAAACCTTAATATATCATACAAACAAAGAAACAAATCAGTAGAAGCTAAGTTAAACAAAGAACGTGCTCATCACCCTTTCTTTCTCTAGGAAAAAACCATGTGCATTGTTTATCACCAGTTCATCACCCTTTATTTCTCTAGGTGATAAGGGTTGGAATATTGAGCCCTTAAAAAACAGTGCTGAAAGTCTGTTCCAGATACTAATGATACATAACTATCTGAAAAAAAAAAATACCTGGAAGAGGCTCTACGGTGGTTCGATTATGATATAGTGTGTCTCCAACACGAGCCTCTTTAGTTGACCGCATGCCACTAACAATATATCCAACTTGACCTGTTAAAAGGACTCCTGTAGGAACTAGTTCTGGGTGCATGAAGCCAACATCTAAAACTTCATAAGTTTGGCAAGTTGCAGCAGATGAAATTTTATCACCTTTACGGAGAACACCATCAACAATTGCTACATGGCAGATAACTCCCTTATACTCATCATAATAAGAATCCAACAAAAGCATGCGTAGAGGTGAAGTTATCTTTCCTGGAGGAGGTGGTATTCTCTCTATGACAGCAGGAAGAACATGCTCCAGACCTTTACCAGTTTTTGCAGATGTTAACAGTGCATCATTTGGGTCAAGGTCAAACATGGATTTTAGTTGTGCTTTCACACGATCTGGATCAGCTGTGGGCTGATCAATTTTGTTTATGACAGGAATGATCGTCAAGTTTGATTCGAAAGCAAGATAAAAATTTGCAACAGTTTGTGCCTGCACACCTTGTGCTGCATCTACAACAAGAAGAGCACCTTGACAAGCAGCCAAAGATCTCGATACTTCGTAGCTAAAATCCACATGTCCAGGCGTGTCAATCAGGTTCAACAAAAAATCAGTATTACTGCCAAGGAAGTTGTGGCGGTGGAACATAGTAGCTGTCTGAGCTTTAACAGTAATTCCCCTTTCTCTTTCTACCTAGGACAATTCACATTACTTCATTTGCACATTTCTTACACTGCAGGCATTTATGTAAATGAATAAAGAAGCTAAATTTATTCTATTTCAATCATAAAAACTTGAACCAACATATTTTGGTTCAACTGGAAGAAGCTTGATTCCCTTAAGTTGAGCATTCTGAATGGAGCAACAAAAGTTTGGAGAGCTTCCCCAGATGGGGCTTGGTATCAGCTCAACTCCAGATTATAAGAAGCAACACGAAGGGCTCATGGTACCCCAAGAAAGCTCATAAAGTTTGCAACTTTATCGAATCCATAATCTAAAGCACTGAACTTCAATAAATGCAATGCAAAAATTAACAAGCTCGAAACTTTATCTTCTTCGAGAAAGACGTCCAGTCCTAAGCAGGGCTAATCAAAATCTTATACTAATTAAGAGTGAGTGAAAAAAGAACCTGCAACTTATCAAGGTACTGAGGTTGACCGTGACCTTTCTTGATAGTCCCAGTAAGCTCCAAAAGACGGTCGGCAAGCGTTGATTTGCCATGGTCAACATGGGCAATAATCGAAAAGTTCCGAATGTTGTCAGAAGGGTACTGGCTCAAGTCTATGTTCGAAGCGTCTTTACTGTTCTGCCGAGAACGAGAGCAGAATGGGGCACTTAGACTCCAGCCAAAGGGGGAGAGAATTGCTCGAGCGTTATCAATAACGGGAGGCGTTCTGCTTGTGAATGTTGCTGAAGCAGATAGTGCTGTTAGCTTCGATCTAAGGGCTCTTGAGGCTCTGTTGAAAGAGCCCATTGTCGATGCTGGACGAGTATGGTGAATGGGAACCTCCCTATGTCTTTCGCCGTCCGGGCATAGTCTTTAAGAGATCGTTCGAGAAATGGCCAGCCGGAGACTAAGAGAAGGTGCCGGATTAGGTTTTACCGTATTCCAGCTAGGGCACTACCATGCGTTAAGAAGAAGGGAAGATGGTCGACATATTTTTGATTAATTGTATTTTAGAATGAGAAAGTACCAAAGTATAAATTATTAATTTTATTTTTGTGTACAAAAAGACAAAATTTAATACATTAAATCATCAATTAAAAGATCACTCAAATACAACAGTGGCTCACTATACCACTCAACGTGGAATCATACATTGAAACGGCCTCTTAGCTTTAACCACAAGGTGGGAAGTATGATTTGAAAACCAAGTCATCTCAAATACCTTCGTGTATTCTGGAGTATAGGTATTGGTGACATGATAATTGGACAAGTAATTGACTCGGAACCACATGAATAAATCAATAGTTATGTAACATAAACATTTACTCTAGCACCGATCTATTCAAGAATAAGCAATTATGGTGAATAACACACTCAATGTCAGCTAGGTTCCTCATTAATATGGAAACTGTTACCTGAGCATATAGACGTTGCATGCATTAGTATAAGTATGAGACATTTCATTAGACACTGATACACTCAAAATCTTGTACTAAAACTTGACAATACAAAACTACTTTATATAATTATTTTCGGTAGCTTATCTACCTTCCTCTGGACCCATCATTCTCTTGCTTTGGTGTGATGTTTTGGGTCCCTACTTTGTGCGAGTCGTGCCTTGTTGCTGGGGTTTCTTTTTCCATGAGAATTCCACCTTGACTTCTTTGGGATGCGACGGGGGCAGCTAACTCTACATACATGTTACTAGTTGGACTAGCACCGTTGATGCTTGCTGAATAACATGGGTCATTGTTTGGATGCCCATGGGCTGGACCGATGCATCGGGGCCTCCATCGCAGTTGTTATGTGAGCTGGTTGTGGAGATTTCCTTCGCAGTTGTTATTGAGCTGGTCTCGAAGATCACATGAGGTGTTGCCAATACAATTCAAGTAGCGGGAATCGTGAGAGATGTTAGATCTTGAACATACCATTAATTTAGTTTGATTGGTCTGAAATGTAAGTGTTCTTAGCATGCTTGAGAGTTGATCCCAGACTCTCAAGGATAACACCATTGATAGTAAATAAGCTACCGGAATAATTATAGAAAGTAGTTTTGTATTGCCAAGTATAAGTACAAGATTTTGAGTGTGTTATTGTCTAATGAAAAGTCTTATGCTTATACTAATGTCTGCAATGTTTCTATGCTTAAGTAATGATTTCCATAGTAATGAGGAGTCGAGCCTACATCGAGTGAGGTCTTCACCATAATTGCTTCGTCTTGAATAGGTTAGTGTTGGAGTAAATGTTTTTGTTAAGTGACCTTTGATTTTTCGGGTGGTTTCGAATCTGGTACTTGTTCAATTATTCTCTTGGTAAAAAGTGGACGGTTACCTACAAATATAGTTTAAAAAATCTAATTAATTCCTTTATAATCTATAAAATTTAGGAATAAGGGTCAAATAGGCCATCGAATTACACGACCGAGGCATATGCTTTTCCCCACTCATGGCCGAGGCATATGCTTTTAAGGAGGCTCTATCTTGGTTACGCGACCGTGGAGACCAAAATATAGAGCTTTTTACAGATTGCCAGGTACTGCAGAGTTACTTAGTTACACCACAGCTGCTGACACGATCGTACGTTGGCTACGCAATTGACGGATGCAGGAACTATTTATCTACTTTTAATTATTGTCATGTTAATTTTTTACCTAGATCGCAGAATATTTTAGCACATAGTTTAGCTACTACAGCTTTCCAGTATGACACAGCTATGTATTGGGATGCTATCCCGCCTGACGCTATTTCAGCTTATCTATGAATACAACCCATTGGTTGACCTTAAAAAAAAAAAAAGACCATCGAATTACACACCAAAATACAATTAGGTCATTGAACTCAAATAACATGCATTTAGGTCACTGAACAACACAAAATGATGTAATTGGGGTTCTGAACAACACAAAATGATGCAACTGAAACAAAAATGACATGTTTACCTGTTATTTTGCTGATGTGTAGGTTATCATATTAAAATAATAAATTTTTTATTTTATTTTAATAATTTTAAATAACAAATTAAAAAAGGGAGTAGGGGCAAAGGGAGGGGCTTCGTATCCCGGTTGGAGGAGACGAAGAGGTCCCCTCGTCTCTGGCATTGAGACGAGACGACGATTTTTCGTCTCCTCCAGCATGGAGACGAAGAGGTCTCTTCGTGCCCTCCGGCACCTTTCGTCTCCAGGGTGTCGGAGGGTCTTCGTCTCCGGCAGGAGACGAAGAGTTGAAGACTCCCATTTTTGTAATAAAAAATTTGTTATTGTTTAAAATTATTAAAATAAAAAATTATTATTTTAATAAGATAATCTACACGTCAGCAAATTAACACTAAATAGATCACTTTTGATTCAATTGCATCATTTCATCTTGTTCAAAATTTTAATTACATGTTTTTTGAATTCAATGATCTGATTGCATTTTGCTATGCAGTTTGATGACCAATTTGACCCAACTTTCTAATCTAAAATTTCATAAGATGGATTCGGGTACTTAATCAGTCCCCCGGACCCGCCCCTATAAAATACTGTACATACGCGCATATCGTTCACAGCTTATATATTACGCGAAATCGCGTTTTCAGATATCGTATAAGGAGCCGATGCATAGCGTAGAAAGAAGTCCCAGGCGGCCGATCGTCAACGCTCAATTCTAATCCGTCGAGTTCTGAAATTCTTGCCGCTATTGCTCTCAGGTAATGAATTGCTCCCTCTGTTTCTCCTCTAATTTCCGTCATTTTACGAATTGTTCCTCGAATTCTCACGAACCCTACCAATCAAGGTGTCTAGGTAGGAAATTAAGTATAGGGAAAACATATATTTGATTTGGAGATACCTCAATTACTTGCCTTGGATTTAGGTTTTCTGTTCCTCCATAGATTCAATGATCATTCGAATATTGAAATGATAGTATTGCAAACTGTTATTGCTAATTAGGCGGTAAGGATGTCGACACCAGCGAGGAAAAGACTGATGAGGGATTTCAAGCGGTTGCAACAGGATCCTCCGGCAGGCATCAGCGGTGCTCCTTATGACAACAACATCATGCTATGGAATGCTGTTATTTTTGGGTATCACCTTACAACTTGATTGCATATTCTGTATATGTGCTTGCATGTGTTGTATGATTTCTATACATTTACAAATATTGTGTATTCATATGTTTCTTAGATTAAATTTCTCACTGCATACTTTCCTTGCTTGTTTCTTATTTGCAGCCCTGATGACACTCCTTGGGATGGAGGTGAGGCATTTATTGCTTAGAGATTTCCCCTTTTTGTTTTTCATTTTGTTGGGATTTTGGATATTCACATGTCTATGGTTTTGCACATATCTGAATCATGTGATTATAGGAATGCATTTACAAGTCAAAAAGAGTTATCCTAATGGATCTTTAATCCTTTATTTTTGTAATAATCACACATTAATTATATATTGTTATAAAGCATACCTCAGGTGCACTGCATATTTTTACCTTTTTTTTTTCCCTATTAACTGCTATTCAAGTGGCATCAGCTTAGGACTTTATTAATAAAGTCTCAAGTGTAATATCCCCACTTTTCCATAGCAATATTTGCCCACCCTTCTAATCCCAAATAACATATTTGAACCAATTGAAGTGTACAAGGGAAATATGCTTACTTTAAACCAATCAAGAAAATGCGGGAATCCAATCTTCCCCAGTACCTCAAACCAATCAGGCCCATAGCGAATCTGTGTTTCCTATGGTTTGTGGCTTTGATGTTGTACTTCCCAAGCCTCTTTTTAGCTGTGTATCTGTGCTTAAGTTTTTATCTTTGTTGATACTAGGTAATTGAATGTCTAGTTGGGTTGTAAATCACTCTGGATGCTTGAATGCTTTGAACTGCGGATATCTTTCCAAAACCTACACATATTGTGTTCTTCACAACAGTAATTAAAATCCCACATGGGCTAATTTTATAATAGTGAAACATGATGCATTTTTCTTTGATCTGTTGTCTACTTATAGGTACGTTTAAGTTGACACTGCAATTCACTGAGGATTATCCAAATAAGCCACCAACAGTGCGGTTTATTTCCCGAATGTTCCATCCTAACAGTAAGTATCTTCAGTATTACCTTGGTGTTATATTCGTTACAATGGCTTAGTATTTACTGTCCAACAGTCTGATTATCATTTCAGACTTTGATCCTTCGCCACCACATTTGTTATTATATTTTTAAGATAAAGCTAGGGGGTTTTATTTTGAGACAAATTTGGGTGACTATTTTGGCATTATCATTTGCATCTTGATGCTCATTTAGACAAAAGTACATTCTTTAATATAAATATGTTACAGATAATAATATACAATTTGACTAGTTTTTAAGTTCTCTAGATGTTAAGCAGAAACTCCTTCAGAAGTCTAATAACCTGCAATGTGGTTGAAACATGTTTTTGACAATATACAATTTGACTAGTTTTTAAGTCCTAAACCTTGATTTTGAAGAAAGTACAATTCAATTAATCTAGTTCCCTAATACAAATGAGCTATTTGGGCTATAAGAATTGACACCCTCATTCTTGGGCAATACTTGGTGCCCCTCTATACTTGCATGGTTCATCAACTGAGATCAAGTTTTCTTCAATCAAAAGCAAATCAATACTGGCCAAGTTTTCATGTCTTCTTTTAAGGGATAGGGAGTAGGGACATAACAGTGAAAAGTGTTTTATGACATACATCTCCTATACTAGTATTTTATATGCGCGATGAGCAAAAATATATGCTCAATATTAATACTCAATGTTAAAATTTTAATTATATATATATATTTTTTTAAATATAGTATATAATTTTTTATTATTATTTTTTTTAAATTCATAATTGTAGAGTTCATATTATATTAAAAGTATAGTTGATAATTTGAGTAATAAGTAAGGTATGATTAATATTATGAGTATTAAAGTAAGAATTCTATATGTGATAAATTGCTAAATATAATTATGTTAACATTTAATTAAAATCTAAATGAAATTAAACTTATTTCTTATATTACTCCAATATATAATGTCTACATACCTTATTACCATTGAAGAATATAAGAAAAGATATTGTGTATGCATGTGCATGGCAACAATAATGGAAAAAGATAACAAAAGTTATAATAGTAGGGATATTTTTGTCCAAAAAGTTGTGTATTACAACTCTTATAGCATAATGTAAAAAAAAAAAAATTGACAGAAAAAAGGGACATAAATCAGAGGTGATTGAGATTTATTATGTTTTTAGATATCATTTTAATGTTTGCATTTTCTTATTGGACAATGCTATTCTATTTGCACTATCTGATGTGGCTTCATGTTTTCATATATTCTGTTAGATTGGTTTCCAACTAACCCCATTTTCTTAGTACTGTAATTGTGTCACAAAACATTCCTATTTCAAGTGGAATATCAATATATCTTGATCATTTCCAGCATTTTGAGCATTGCTGGTATTCTGTGATATTATAAGCCGTATATAAGATGCCATGTGCTATATTTTCACAAATATGCTTCTTTATTTACTCAAAGCTATTTGTTTCTTGTATACTATCTCTCGCATTAGTCTTCTATTTCCATTTCATTTATCAACTGAAATACAATGTTGCATGAAATTGCACTTCACGGCTTTCTCATGTCATTCTTTCTTCAAATCAAATTATTTGTCAGTTTATGCTGATGGAAGCATTTGTTTGGATATCCTACAAAATCAATGGAGTCCGATATATGATGTAGCTGCTATACTTACTTCAATCCAGGTATGAGTTACAGCTTAAAGATTAACATTTAAAATCATACCCACCTTCTAAAGCCCCCTTTCCCTCTATAAATGTGTTACCCCCCCCAAACTCCCCCTAAGAAAAAACACACAAACCCCAAAAAAACTGTATGGGAAATGTTTGGGCTGCTAAAGAACATTACAACAATCTGAGCATGCAACCTTTAGTCTTGCCATTAGCTTTTAAGATATTATGATGTTTCTAGCTTCTCTGTAGCATGGGAGTATCTATGTGTGCTCTCTAGCGCTTACTGTACCTTGGTTTTTGTTTGATTTTTATAGTAGAAGAGTTTTTTACCGATTGATTACCCTTATTTTCATGTTGAAGACCCAGTGTAAAAATTAAAAGAGAGGAGTGATCTGTAGATGAATTATTATCTTGGAAAGCTGGGGTGCAGATGCAATGCTAATGCTTTGGCAGTGGGATCATTTCACCATTTTCCCCAATAGTGATTATTTGTATAAGCAGAGTTGGAATTACTAAAATTAACCCACCGGGAAAATGAAATTTTTTTGTGGGATTGCGAGCCTGAGCCTTGTAGAAGTGTGGTCTTATTACTAGTGAAAAATTGGAGTCTTATTACTTGTATGTAGTAATAATTTCCAATATATTTTTCCTTGGAACTAATGGTTGGGGTCTGAGTTAAATGCAAATATTGTTTTGCCAATAGATTCCGTCTCTAGCTTAATTAGTTAATAAATGAAAGGATAAAGCAAGGACTGGATGTGAAGAATTTGCTTTAAGGCTGACATACCTTTATTCTGTTCACTTTAATCTTATAAATATTTCTGAGGTCATGCCTTTATTAATTAATCTGTATAAATTCATAAAATCAAGTAAAGGGAGGTCCTCAGTACACTTTAGGTGTCAGTATACTGAACAGGCTAGGGAAAAGAAAAAAAGACGAACCTTTCTTAGTGTATTTATTACATAATAAGCTTGGATATGATTAAGGTAATACATAGCCTTTCGCTGATTATCTTTATCTTTATCAATTGCAGTCACTGCTTTGTGATCCGAACCCCAATTCCCCAGCCAATTCCGAAGCAGCAAGGATGTTTAGCGAGAACAAGCGTGAATACAACAGGAAGGTGCGTGAGATTGTTGAGCAGAGCTGGACAGCAGATTAAATGTCTGATAGTTCGAAGTGTTCTGCTCCTGGTAGGGGGTGAAGATTGGCCTTATAAAATGGGTTTTGTAGTGTTAGTGCTACATTACTTGTTAATGTTGCACTACATTCTATCCTTTTCTTCAAGTGTTGTAGGAACTTTAATGGTCTTTAAACTGTGTTGCTATTTTGCGCTACTTTTTTGTACATATAGTCTTCTGTATCCAGTGTGGAATTGTATGGAATGTTTATTCCCATAATCATTGTTAAGACCTGAGCAAATTCAACTAAATAAATGTTGTTGTTTTACCATTCTTTCCCCTATGAACCATCTCTGAAATATGGATGCCGATATAAGCTTGTTATTGAAATGTTGTAATAAGATCCAATTAGTCGGTGAGGGTATTATTTCAGTGCCAGTTTGTGGTGGAAAGGTGTTTCCAAGTACCCAAAACTGCACACCTTAACTGTATTCCTTTGTTGATTGCAGGGAAGATTTGTCCGCGGCAGGGCTGGTGGTAACTTGTTAATACACAACAGGTAACCCTGAATGGTTTTTATTTATTTTTATTTATTTTTTATTTTTATTACCGACTCTGTTACTACTATTCAAATATATTTTCTCAATTGATTGAAGCACAAATAATTAATACTGCCTTCGTTAAGGCCTGAACCTATTACTTTTCATTTGAAAGAGTCACTTCATGTAACAAGTTCATTGTTGGTAACTCGAATGTTAAGAAACGTGTTGGTGTTACATCATAATGGTGCCAGATGGAATAAGATGAGGAATTGGGAATGACATAAAGAACAGGGGTGGCCTAGAGACGCAGTACGTGTCTGCCAAAATGTTGAAGTGGAGGCAAGTCACGCGCTACCTATTGCAGCAGAATAGCAGATGATTCCATTCCCCTCATCGTCGCTTGGCTGTCATTTTCAAGTGGAGGGCTATCATGCTTTCTTTATCTTCTAGTTTTTATTTATTATTTATATTCAAATATATATTGAGTTGGTAAACTGTAAACTTGTCGTATGGTCGGTCAAGAATTATGTGTGATAGTGAATACGCATTTTACACCCTGTCCATGCTTTATACTAACCCAAATATGTCGGCCAATTCACATATCTCCCAAGCTCTATATTTGATTTAATGAATTTGCCATCTATGTTTCTTTCAGTGTCGGTGTGTGTACATGAAAATTTTATGCATTGTATCACTTTTTTTTTTTTTTTTTGAGTGACGAGAAAAACTCGTAACAACAATCCGAGAGTATTGTAAATTTTGCCTTGTGGTTATTACTGGTAAATGATTACAATAATGTAAATTAATCTAGGTTGTTCAACCAAAAACCCCGTTCACATTGAGAGTTGAATTTGTAAGATATTATCAAGTTAACAATTTGACCAACTTAACTGAAAGTGTAATCAATGTATCACTTTTTAATCGAACTCTTTGCGACTAACAGATGCTATAAGCCTATAATTGGGCGTTGACCCTGTAGCTGTAGGAGAGGAGAAGGCCCCTGCCCTCTCTCCCAATGATGGTAACTTAGCAGTTGGTATACCTAAACCTAATAAACCCGTGGGGACCATCACGTTAAGTCAAGCAGATGGCCAACTAGCCACATTAATTTTGGACCCTCTCTTTGCTTTCTACTGCATTCCCGGATACATATATGTATGCAGTGATATATACACATTAAGTAATTATATTGGACTGACTAATCAACATTCGAGATTCAATTACATATTGTACCTTATTATAATCAATTACAACAATTAAATGTGAAGGTGTATCATCATATATACACAACACCAACAAAGTTGACCATTAACAAAAGAACGAATACCATAATAGGAGCTCTCAAATACATAAAAACTGAAAAAGAAAGCGTGTTTTATCTGCATGTTCAATTACAGTTTAAAAGCTCTCGAATAGTATAAATGGTGATACTCGCATGAGCAGCACAATTGGTCACATGGGTAAAGTTTGGAAAGAATGACTATGAGTCGAGTCTCACCAACAGAAGTGTGGGAGCTCCATGTGCGCTGGTTTATTTCTATAAGCATACAGATTGTTCATAACTAATCGATTCAAACTAACAAGACTCAGCTCAAACTAATTTAAAACCTTGAATTCAGCTAATTTTTCTACCAACTTGACTTGATTGTCGAAAATCATACTGTTCTGCCGCTTGTGAACTATTCTTGTGTTTAATGCCAAAGAAAACAGACTTAAATATTACATAGTGCACTGTAACAATAGTTTAATTTAAACTTTTGACTGGAATCAAATCATATTAATAGATTAGAGATGATGTGATGATTAAAAAGACATGACCTTTGAACTCCAAGTTAGATAATGATTGGGTGAAAATTGTAGTGTAATAGTTTAAGCTTAAGATAAGATGAAAAAGTTTAAGACGTCGCCGTTTTCCCTCAACACAACAAATACTTATTACAGATGAGTAGCCAGTAGGCTGCACCAACTTTACTAAAAGCGACTCTGTAACCACGCAATAGCCTATAGACTATAGAGTGTTGGGTTTCTACTCTCTCTACAGTCTGCGGGTACACAGCGAAGAGAAGAGGCGGAGACGAGCGGTGGAGAAGGGTCCGTTTGGGGTAAGTGCACCGACTCTGAGAGCTATCCCCTTTTTGCTTTGAGCTCTTAGCTCAGTCAATCGTTTCAGTGACATTTGTTTTTCTCTCTTTCTTCCGCTTGCACGTTATCTGTTTGATGTTTTGTTTCAGTTTCACCTATGGTGGTTCCCGGATCTTGAGTATCTTCATTTCTCGAGGTACGTCTCAGATCTGAAACGCATTTCTCACGGAACCCTCTCCGGGTTGTCCTTGCCTCGTTTAGCTTGCATGTGTATAGATATTTATGGGTTTTCACTGTTCGGTGTTGGGTCATTGTAGATCTTGCTGAATTTCTGTTTTTTGAAGTTATTTGTGTAGTTTCCTAGTTGAGAGTAGTTAGAATTTGTGTTCTTTCGTTTGTGGTGCATGCATTTGCTTAGTTCAGTGTGTGATTTTTTGAATTATGGGTAAAAGTTCATTTGCAGTGAGGTTGCGTTAAATTGTGTATGTGCACACCTTAGAGCTCTTTCAAAATTTGGTCTTTTTGCAATTTTGAAACAATGCAGGCTGAAAAAATTGAAGTCCCTCTGATCCTTGCAGCAGGCTGTCAGCAATGGGGAAATCTCCAGGAAAGTGGATCAAGACTGTGCTTTTTGGGAAGAAATCTTCCAAGTCAAGCTTATCAAAGGTGAGAATCATTTTATTGACCTTTTCATATGCTAGGTAGTGCCTTTTGTTATCAGATCTCATCAACTGTCATCACTGATTGAACATGTTCTTGACATTGTCAAATGACTAGATGTCAGTGAAATCACCTGATTGTATGAACTGATGCTTAGAAACCTGAGTACATTAATCTAATGAAATAATGCAAGCTTTGAGGGCATTTCCTTGCTGTGGAGCTCATTGGTAATATTTGATCCAAAATAGCAGTGTGAATGTGTCATTTTTCCAGTCAGGGGAACAAAGGAAATAAGTTCGACTATGGAGTATAAAAAATGTGCTGACTAATTTCTGGATGTAAAATGTTGCAGAGTCTATGTAGTAGGTCTGCCCGGCTGATAAGATTCATTCACTCTTATATTTTTTAATAAAGAAATTTCCCCTTTACTTTAATGTTTTGATTTGGGATGAATTGTAAATTCTTGTCCAAATTACTTTTCCCAAAAAAGCTAGTTGTTTCTGTTGAATTAATAACCTTACGAATTTGATGACTAAGAGTAATGTTCTCGATCCATACTTCATTGTGAAGGATGCCGCTACTGACAAAAGCACCACCAAGAAAGTACCTGTGTCAGATCTTGGGGAGGATCCTCCATTGATCCCAGATTCATCAAGTCACAATATTAATAGAGGTGAAGAGAAGGCAGAACTGGATAAGGGCACAACCACTGGGTTACCAGGTGATTCTGTTGTTTTGTCCTCTGTGGCACAGGGTGTGGATTCACAATTAACCTTAGGCACTGTGTCAGTTGATGATGCTGAACTGCAAAGGCAAGAAAAAGCTGCAACAAAAGCACAAGCGGTCTTTAGGGGTTATTTGGTAATTTAGTTTCCAATTATATATTTACTAGAATTAGAGGTGACTATGCTGACTTTTTAAATCATTTCACCTACCTTGATATTTTTTTTATTTATTTATTTTTCAATTTTCACTTTTGATTAATGAATTAATGTCTCCCTATAGGCTCGTCGTGCTTTCCGAGCCCTTAAGGGAATCATAAGGCTGCAAGCACTTATTCGCGGGCACTTGGTTAGGCGGCAGGCAGTTGCTACATTGCGTTGCATGCACGCAATTGTTAGGTCTCAGGCCTTGGCTCGTGGACGGAGAGTCAGACTTTCAAATCCTGTGTCTCGGGGGCTTGGAAACTACAGTTTGGGAGAAAGAAAGGTAACTCTCAAAATAGGACCTCATCAGCTACTTCAGTTCCCTATCACTTTCCCCTATCCTGGCATTCTTTCATTTTTTCTGATTTCCTTAATTTATCCTGTGGTGTTTATTGTTTCTTTGTTTGGTGTCAATTCTACATTTCTACATTCACATTTCACTTGTTTTCTCTACTACCAGGATGCTAAGCCGGCAGAATCAAATGTCATAAGTGCGTCTCTAAGATCTGAGAAGCTAGCAGCTAATGCATTTGTGTGCAAGGTATTCTTTTTCTTTTGTCATCTTGACCTGGTTACATCAATTTTCAGGAGTCTAGTTAAGAACCAACATCGCAGGTCACACAACATTTGTCATGTGGCACTCATTGGTTCCTTTAATAAATTGATTTTATTCATGGAAAAAAGATTTCAGAAGAAGTTAAGGAACTATTGAGTTGTGATTCATGCCTTGGAATTATTACTCCCTATGCAACTTTAAAAATATGAATTATACTGCGTTTGTTGCAATCACTTCCATTTTATTTATTTATTTATTTATTTTTTTCTGGCTAGCTTCTTGCTATAGTGCCAACAGCTATGCCCCTGAGCCTTCAGTATGATGTGGTTGAACCTAATTCTGCTTGGAATTGGCTTGAACGTTGGTCATCATCTCGCTTTTGGGAACCACTTCCACGACCAAAGAAGAATCTTAATGTAAAATCTCAAAGAAAGCATGGTGTGCAGAGCTCTGAGATTGAAACTGGAAGACCAAAAAGGAGTGTCCGGAAGGCTCCTATTGCATCAAATGGTGACAATCATGGATCAAGTTCCTTGGAACCTGAAAAACCTAAACGCATTCCTAGGAAAGTCATAAATCATCAGACAGAATCGTCACAAGAACCTCAGTCTGAACTAGAGAGGGTAAAACGAAGTCTAAGAAAAGTTTCTGCATCCACAACAGTGGCTTCTGAAAAGTCAGAAACGGAAATTGAGAAGGTGCAACCTCCTCCTGTAGAAGTACCAAAATCCTTGACTGACTCGGAGGTTCGCGAGCAAGTAGTTGTTGATTCTTCAGACCTGACTACTGACTCTAAGATTGAAGTTGACGAATTGGCTGTGATTGAACCCTCTCCAAAACCTTCTACAGTTGATGACAATCCAGTAGATGTATTGCAGAATCATATCCCTGTTGAACAGTTGCTGCCTGAAAATGGTGAGAGGGGCGAGACAATACCCGCAGTAATGGAGGAACTTACCTCCAAGGAGGATCAAACTAGCAAGGAAAGCCAGAGAACTAGGAGAAGGAGATCTCTTCCAGCAAAGCAGGAACAGACTGAAAATATTTCACAAAATGCACCAAGCTTGCCTAGCTATATGGCAGCGACTGAATCTGCAAAGGCTAAGCTTAAAGCACAGGGAACTACTAGATCTACTGAAGATGAGGCTGAAAATGGATTTGTCAGACGGCATTCACTACCATCCTTGACCAATGGAAAACTCAACTCACTGTCTCCTCGGGTGCAGCGGCCAGTGCAAGCAAATGGCAAAGGAGGAAACAAACCCAACAGATCAGTGTCTTCCACTAGAGATGGTACGAATCTAGTACATGTGCAGTCATGCTGATTGATATAATTTCTTTTTCTGATTATAGTCAACTCATTAATTTAAAGCATTCTCACGAAATACTTCTTTTTTTGGATGTTCTAAATTTTAGAAAAGGCGCTTCAGCCTGGTTGGAGGAGATGAGTTCAAGAATCCTCTCACCGGAGTGTGGAGGTCCATTGTGAGGCTGTTTCATTTGGTTGTGCAATCTCTGTTGTGTAAAAGATTAGACTGAACTTAGCTTAATATAATTTGTGTCACTCCCAGGCTTCCCATCATAGGCTTGGACTGTTAAAAGGGGAATGTATAGCGATAGACTCCGAGAGAATGTCATTTTACAGTTGGTGTGCTGTTTTTTGTTTCTGTTTTGTAATGTGCAGATGCTTGACTCATGAATCTCTTGCTACAGGTTTGCTGTGTGTTTTTTTTTTTTTCTTTCTTTTTAATTTCTTAGCAATAGATTCTGGGATTTCTATGCCAGTTTTGCTTTTAACAGTTGAAGATGAAAACTACAATCCAACCAGCTTTTCAAATGTTGTCTTTTTGGGCTGACAAAGTTAACTTTAAAAGGTGTCTGCCAAACATGCCGTTATCACACAACACAAGAAAGCAATGATAACATTTCATTTCACTTCATTTTCAGTGGTTTTGCTTATAAGATTGTTCCCACAACATTCTCTGAACTGTCACAGTTGAAACGGAACTGAAAGCAGAAAAGGGATCTCGTCTGCAGTTGCATCATAGATATCTGCGGTGGTGCCATACTCATCTCCGTTACATACCAGATCGTTTTGTTGGTTTCCATATACAGTTTTTCTGTCGTCTTCTTCTTCGTCTGAGATGTTCGAGTTCTTCTCGAGCAGTTCTCTGAATATGGAAGACCTGAGGAGCAGGCTAAGTGCGGTTGGAGAAGACGACTTTCTGCATCCATTAATAGGCAATTTTGCTTCAAATACTTGTTCATTGTCATCTGCCCTGTAAGGTTCTGTTTGGGAGATGTTGACCGCCATTGTTGAATGGAAGTTGGAGGCTAGCAATGCCTCAGGCACCGCGTTTGGCTTGCTTTCTTGTGAAATATCGAGTAGAGGGCTGTTCACCCCTGGCTTCAACCATCTGATATAAGTACTCAGATCAAAGTTCGTGACAGCGTTCATGCCTCTGTATTCTATTGCTGCAATGTCATATGCTCGAGCTGCCTCTTCTTGGGTACCTGTCAAATAACCCGACAGTGAGATTACACATTTACTCCGTATTATTTATATATATGTGTATATATATCCCGAGTTTTACTTACTGTAAGTGCCTAAGTAGAGGTATTTGTTCCCAAAAACTCTTCCTATTCTTGCTTCCCATCTTCCATTATGATGATGTCTGCACACATGGAAACACAGAATTTCTTGATAAAACTGCTAAATATATTCCACAAAATGAGTCTGGTAATTTATCTTTTAGCCATGGAAATATACCTAGCAACACCTCTGTACTTTGATGCTCCTCTTGAAAACCCACTGCTTTTTCTGCAGCATACAATGGGAACCAAATTTCAACAAATAATTTTTCATAATCTGATGCGGTTCAATGCAGTTATATATGCGAGATGTTTATACCTTCTTAATGTGGCCAGGTACTCTTCTTTTGTCACAGTTTGCATGAACTCAATTTCTTTCTCATATTCAGAGATCTGCATCACAATTAACTGTTAGCTATTCCTTCCGAGTTAATATGTTTTCCTGTTTTTTGAGTGACACTCGAAAGTGTGCACTGAGTAAACCCTGTCTTGTGACTTTAACCGGCAAAGGCCGAGATAAACCAGCCTAGGTTGCCCATAGCTAACCGTTTCAAACCAAGGTCTATAGGCTGCTTTTATTGGGAGTCGAACTTGAAACATTGTGGTTACCCAGCTAATAGCCTGGCTTATGTTTTCTTGATGAAAAAATGGAAATATATACCGGGAAATTAGTGCAAGTTGATGTCCCCCAGTACTTGACTGCTGCTAAATCATATGCCCTTGCTGCAGCTTCTTCTTCATCATAAGCTCCTGCATATATGATTTAGATTCAGTGTAAAGTTTTTTTTCTGCATAATTTTGCTTACATGCTGTTTAGCAAGAACTCGAGATCTTGGCAGATACTCACCGAGATAAACTGTTGAATTGCAGGTATTTATCCCAGCATGTCCAATCCATGGAAAATGGCAGAAAAAGAGAAGGAAAAAAATTTAGAATCAGAATCAGAATCAGAATCATACAATATAATCAGTCTAGCTTGTACTGTTCATGAAAGTCTGTGAGTTAAAGAAATGTTTATCAATTATCAACCTTGTTTGCCTTTCTTCTTCTGGGTGGCATTCCAGGAGAGCTTGTCCCATAAATGCGCTTCATATCTGCCAGTCCATCTGTGCCTGCTAACCCCTCGAAACCTCGAACTCCTCTTAACAGTAGGAGGACCCGCCAACGTTGTTGTGGTCCTCGTCGTCTCAACAGCTAAATCTTGTTGTTTCTGTGTCTGTATCTCGCAGCTTTCTGCATCTCGTCTTCGTCTCTTTATCCGCCTGTCTCCTCCGGGGTTTGCGGCTTCATCTTCCACCTCGCCGCGTATCGGTCGCCGCCGTCCACACCTCTCTGCGCCTTCACTCTTCATCTCCTTTGCAGCCATGGCATACATTTCCACTTCAATTATATATATATATATATTCTCTGCAGCAGCGTTCTTTAATTTGATCTTTGCCTCTGAGAATGTAAGAACCATGCGTGTGTAGTTATATACACTGCGCCCTGCGGGCTTGTTTTGGACGTATTATGTCTTGTCTGTTGCTATAACAACTGGCTCCCCGACAGGGACACGGCGATTAATACTATGTTTTTTGGGACAATTTTTTTTTTTTTTTTTTTTTTTTTTTTTTTTTTAAGGACACCAGATATGACTACCTATGACCTATCCAATCAGGAGTTCATGGTTTTGGGGTATTAAATTTTTTTTTTTAAAAAAAAGAAAAAAGAATTTCAATTTAAACTAATAGTTTAAAGTACGCAGTTCGTAAAGACTGCTGACAAACACTACGAATACAATTGGTAAATAAGTGTGGTTGAAGAATAAGTGTGACACATTGAGAGCTGGAGAATTTAAATGCTTTCATGATAGGATTTTCATATATTATATGTGAATAATATGAATAAGAAATGATGTTCTGAAAATACAAGTTGAACTCGACAAGACCAACTTTAACTATGAAAAGAATTGGAGGTCGGGTATCACTTCTACTCACCCATCACATATTGAATACTAATTATAAAGATTAAATTGAGTAGTATTTACATGATTTAACAATTTATATACATCTATCACTTTGTTAGAGTTTTCTTTTATTTATTTTTTGAAATTTCAAAAGTACAATTAATTAACATGAAGAAGAGGCTCGAATCGTCTAAGTCAAAATACAATATTTAACAAGGACATAGTCATACAACAAAGGGTCACAATCCTATCGAATTTGACAGCGAATTAGCATTTATTTATTAGTTAAATGATTGAAAATGGAACTCTATTATTATTATTATATATATATAATATACAAATGAATCAAGATTCCAGTTTTTTGTTGAGCAGGAATAAGAACAGCATTGTACGCATTATCTGTGGGATTATAAATAGTTAAATACTATAAATTAATGGCATGGTTACTTATTCATACTTCATGTCTAAGCATCTTTACATAGGATTCTTCGTCCAGAAATGTTTGTTTTCTTGATTGTAGAGGTTTATGAAAGTGTTTTTTCAGCTGGGGGTAAGGTTTGTTTGTTTGATTTCTTCCATGCATGGCGGCGGTGTTTTCTAGGCAAATTATTATGTTGATTCGGGGCCAAAAATACACAATTTATATACTGAATGTTCACAATTTACATATTAAATATTCACAATTTACATACTGAATGTTCAGTATATAAATTGTATATTTTGATACAGATCCACCTTGCAAAGTGAACTCAGTTCCATGACATAACAATACTGTCTTCTAAGGGATAAATTGATGCATTGTGGTTTAAAGCAAACTTATTGGTTTGTGTTTTTATTTGAGCTTTTGTTAGAAAAGTCAAATAAATACAAATAAAATCAAAATTAAAATTTAGGTGGGTTACCTGTTAGCGATGAACTTAACGTACCATTAGGTGTCGAAGTCACAATCCAAATTAGCATATGGAGCCATTTTTCTTTCCATCTCTCATTTCACATCCACTTACAGGGCGTTTGATTCACTATAATTTAGCTGTAGTTGAATTGCATTTCAGTGGATGCCTCAATTACATTGTTTGGTTTGAGGGAATTGCAATTCCCTCCTTTTGTTGAATTGCAATTCATGGAGTACCCCCCATGAATTGCAATTCAATGAATTTGAGAAAGGAAAAACATATGAAATGACATTACTACCCTTGGTTGTTATTACTATTATTATTACATAAGGGTATTTTAGTCTTTATACCACTTATTTCCTTTTCAATTCCAATAATTCTATTTCTCTCTACCAAACAACGTAATTTGAATTCCTACTTTATTCCCACCTTATTCTTTTCCCACCGAATTACAATTCCTTTCCTCCCTAATTCCTTCCTTCCAACCAAAACCAGTTAAGTCATGAAAAACTAATCATTTATAATGCTCTTATGAGTTATGGCAATGAAAATAGAGTGTTGTAAGAGCATCCACATCAGTTGGGGAGAATTGGGGGATAATATAAGAGTGATTAGGAAAGAGAAAGTGGGAGAGGAGAGAAAAAAACAAAAAAAAAAAAAGAGAAAACTGAAATTGAAAAAAAAAAATAAAAAAAAATGAAGCGTCAGGCGCGCTGTCAGCGCGCCTGACGCGTACACGGGCGCGTGCACTGCACGCGCCCGTGTGGCCACAGGCTGTGCGCAAACGCGCACAGCCTGTGTTGCTTATTTTTTTTATTTTATCTTTTTTCTGACATTATTTGTGTATTTGCAGGAGGATTCTTTCCTCTATTATCTCCACTCCACATCTCTTATTATCTCCATCCAAGTTTTTTAATTTGACATTAACTCCTCATTCACCTTTGGTGTGGATGCTCTAACAGTCTCATTACATTTTTCATTTTGAAATTTTAACTGAAAGATAAAAATGTTCAGTTTAGTCAATACGTGGTTCTTATTACTAAAGTATATTTTTTAAAGAGTAAATACCACATATGGTCCCTCGAGTTTGGTGGCATCGCCATCAATGGTCCCTAACTTCCGTAATTACCATCTGTCATCCTCCAAGTTGTGAAAAGTTACCTTCTAGCGTCCTTCCGTTACTTCCTCCCGTCTCAGCCGTCAAAATGGAGGGTAATATTGTCATTTGACTTATACGAAAAGAGTTAATACCAGCCAAGGTCCCTCGAGTTTGGTGGTTTGGCCATCTTTAGTCCCAAACTTGGCCAAACAATATTAAAGAAAGTTGGTGGTTTCTCAACCTCCAACGTGAACTCCCTCTTCTCCTATACAATATTAAAGAAAATTTACAAATGTATAATATTCTCTTCTTTAATTTCTCTCACCGCCATTGCCTACATATTAGCAGAACTCATATATATTCACACAAAAACAGTTTATGATATGATAATGAGAGAAGAAATTTAAACTTGGGAATAGTGGTATTGAGCAGCCGGATACTCTCTAATATACATCATGTGGAAGTCCGTGGGAGGAAGAAGCTAAGCAGAAAATGCTTCTCCAGTGATCACGGCGTATAGATTTTCATAATGATCTTTATGGAACGATGTCTCCGACAAATCATTCCCAATCCAGAGGTTCACGGCATCAGGAAGGCATCCCAAGGCCTTAGATACCTAGGAAAAATGGGGCTTACAGTCCGAACCGATAGCCTCATACTCTGAATGGAAGCAATCATTCTATTGCTGCAGGTAAGCGATGGTGGAACTGTTGTCGGATTGGAGAACCTTTGACAGAGCGTCAGGGAAAGAGAGCTGCTCGACATGTGCTGAGGCAAAGCAGAGGGAAGAAGGGGAGGTAGGAAGGGAGGTAACGGAGTCAGCTCGGACGGTTGGGGTAAGGTGGAGGGAAACGATGGAGGAGGAGAGGGCGTCGAGGAGGTACTGGGTAGAGTGCCAGAGAGTGGTGGCCGACCAGTGGTTGATGGCGGAGGAGATGAGGCATGGCTTGTTGGGGGAAACATTGTCGCGGAGGAAATGAAGAGGCGTAGGTGAACAGAGGAGGCGGTCGATTTGAGAGGTCGTGCCTAAACTCGATGGACCTTGATTTGACAACAGAATCTTGCTAAGATATCCAATTCCATCCTTACGCACCCAAACTTGGGACTAAAGATGGCCAAACCACCAAACTCGAGGGACCTTGGGTGGTATTAACTCTTTTCGTATAAGTCAAATGACAATATTACCCTCCATTTTGACGGCTGAGACAGGAGGAAGTAATGGAAGGACGCTAGAAGGTAACTTTTCACAACTCGGAGGATGACGGATGGTAATTACGGAAGTTAGGGACCATTGATGGCGATGCCACCAAACTCGAGGGACCATAGGTGGTATTTACTCTTTTTTAAAGTACATTTTTATATTATTAAAGGTACATAACCGACTCGATTTTCCAATTCCACCACTTTTCGCGCCACGATCAGATTTGCGCAGACGGGACAGTCTATAAATACCGACTTCGATTGGAGTGTTTCTCTCCGTTTGTAGCCATTATTTTTTCCAATCGGTTAGTCTCCTAGTTTCATCGGCATACGGACTTTGAAGCACAGCTCTGATGGACGGGCACCAATTCAACAATATCTCTCTCGGCGGCCGCGGAGGCACTGTGAGTTCTTTCATTCTCTCTCTCTCTCGATTTTTGTTTTTGTAGTGAATTCCAACTTTAATTTATGGTTTCATGGATATAGATTAGTGTTACGTATCTCCATGGACTGTTGCTAGCATCCTTACCTTAAATATTATGAAATTTGTGTATACAATGTGACTTAATCACTTGTTTTCCTTATGATTTTAGTGCTTTCTCGGGTTACTGTTTTTATTTTAGGTTAAATTTATGAGTAATCCGGTTGGAAATCATTCTCTGTATGTTAGGTTTTGGAGATCATTGAAATGCAGTTTAAATATGTTTTTACATTGTTGCTGGCATCCTTACCTTAATTATTATGAAATTTTTGTATACAATGTGACTTGAATCTCTTGTTACGATTTTAGTGCTTTCTCGGGTTATTGTTTTGATTTTAGGTTAAATGTATGAGTAATCGGGTTGGAAATCATTTTCTGGATGATAGGTTTTGGAGATCATTGAAATGCAGTTTAAATATGTCTTTACACTCGGAGTAATTCTGTTAACAATATTTCTGCTTGAAAAATGTAGAACTCAGGACAACTTAAGGTTCATGCAGGAGGTCTTCTCTGGAAGAAGCAGGGCGGAGGTAAGGCTGTAGAGGTGGACAAGTCTGAAATCATGGGCCTTACTTGGATGAAAGTTCCTCGATCAAATCAGCTTGGGGTTCGAACTAGGGATGGTCTTTACTACAAATTTACTGGTTTCCGTGACCAGGTAAAATGCTCTCTTTGTTTTTTGATTGTTTAAAATGTTGCACTATTATTTTTTAAATGTTTATACCACATGCATTATTTGAATGCTACTATTATTAATAGTAATGACTATGAAGTAAAAAAATTACAAATTCAATTAAAGATTCCTACATTGTCATTGTAGAGGGATCTGATCCAAGTACTAATTTAGAGATGATTGGTTTCACTGTGCAGGATATTTCCAGTTTGACCACTTTTTTCCAGAGCTCTTGTGGAATAATTGCAGAAGAGAAGCAGCTCTCAATTAGTGGGAAAAATTGGGGAGAAGTTGATTTAAATGGTTAGTGGGTTTTTTTTTGGACACTGGTGATTCTTTTGTGGTTCTACAATCTATCTTCGAGTACCTCTTATCGGTTTTGTGTTTGCATACATCATGATGCCTTTGAGCTATGTCTGCCAATTTTATATATGAGCCTCCTATTTTGGTTTTGTGAGGAATTTACTTTTTCTTGTACTTTCAGGGAATATGCTTACATTTCTTGTTGGTGCTAAGCAAGCATTTGAGATATCACTGGCAGATGTCTCACAAACACAGCTACAGGGGAAGAATGATGTCATGTTGGAGTTTCATGTTGATGATACAACAGGAGCAAATGAAGTATGTGGTTGTTCTTTACTTCTTTGTTTATTTTTAACATTTATGCCCTAGCTGGCCCTAATTGCTCTTTATGATTTCAGAAAGATTCATTAATGGAGATAAGTTTTCACATACCTAATTCAAACACTCAGTTCGTTGGTGATGAAAACCATCCTCCTGCTCAGGTGAAACACCAAACACCACTCCATTCCCCGCCCTACCTAAAAGAAGTGAACAAAAATCTTGTTTTTCCATGTATTGTAAGAGAGGGTTGTTAATGTGTTTCCAAATAGGTATTCCGTGACAGAATCATGGCAATGGCTGATGTTACAGATGGAGAGGAGGCTGTTGTTACGTTTGATGGTATTGCTATACTGACTCCAAGGTATATGTTTTAGTTCTTGTCATCTTATTGATTGTTCTTGTTGTATCTGCTTCCTTAAAGTTAACATGTGTTTTCTTCTTGTAGGGGTCGATATAATGTTGAACTTCATCTTTCATTTTTGCGCCTACAAGGGCAAGCTAATGACTTTAAAATTCAGTACAGCAGTGTTGTCCGTATTTTTTTACTGCCCAAGGTTCTCATTGCACTCATTTTCCTATATATTTTCCTCTCTTCTGTTTATATTTTTTATATATATATTTTTTTTGTTGCTTGCATAAAATTAAAAAAGTGATATAGTAGTGACAATGGTTCAGGTTGTTACATTCCACATGCTGGTCATGCATCAATAATCTCTGCCTCGTGATGTTAAATCATTGATAATAGTTTGATTTATATAGTTATCAGATTTTCATCTACCATGTCTATGGCTATCAGGCTATGGCCCTTCGCTCAAGTGGCCTAGGGTGGAAAGGGAAGGGGAGGTTTCCTGACTTTTAAGCCATAAAAGAGAAATAAAGATTGGGTGTATTGTTTATTGAGCTCTACTTGCTTTTTTAGAATATATTTCTTCCTTCCTCTGCAAGGAACAATTTTCTTTGTGCAGGTTAGTCAACCACATACCTTTGTCGTTGTTACCCTTGATCCACCGATTCGGAAAGGTCAAACTTTGTACCCACACATTGTTTTGCAGGTATGTAATGCATCATTATAAATGGTGATGTATTTTTATGATTTAGCATTAAACAACTGATTTATACATTGTAATGCAGTTCGAATCGGAGCATGTGGTAGACACTGGTTTGGCAATGAATGAAGATCTTTTGAATGCGAAATACAAGGACAAATTAGAGCCAACATATAAGGTTTTCTCGAAGTGCATTATTTAATTGGCTTGCCTTCAAATCTTGCTCCATTTATGCTTAGGTTAATGCATTTATAAGTAATAAAAATTGTAAGGCAGAACCTTGACATTTACACTTGTTGCTGTGTTGGATGTTTGCCTTTGGGTTATCAGGGACTTATACACGATGTGTTTACTAAAATATTGCGTGGCCTGTCTGGAGCTAAAATCACTGGACCTGGCAAGTTCCGTAGCCATACACAAGGTTTAGCTGTGAAATCATCGTTGAAAGCCGAAGATGGACTCTTATATCCTCTTGAAAAGGGATTCTTCTTTCTGCCCAAGCCTCCCACCCTTATTCTATATGATGAGGTAAAATTCAAGAGGCTGCATTGATATTAGTGATTAGTTGTTGACTGCATATACAAAGATGCTTACTAGTATTTGGCTGTGCACTTAGATTGACTATGTGGAGTTTGAGAGGCATGCTGCTGGTACAGCAAATATGCATTACTTTGATCTTCTCGTCAGACTTAAGACTGAACAAGAACATCTCTTCCGAAATGTCCAGAGAAGTGAATACCATTGTCTTTATAATTTCATCAGGTCAGCAGTCTTTCTGAGGCCTGATATTTTCCTTGTAATGTTCATGAAAAGTCTTGTTGGTAGTTCTCCTTACATCATTTTTTATAAAATTTGCAGTTCAAAGGGTCTGAAAATAATGAACCTCAGAGACTCTCGGCCTGCAGATGGTGTTACAGCTGTTTTGCAGGATGAGGATGATGATGCTGTTGACCCACATCTTGAGCGAATTAAGAAAGAAGCTGGTGATGATGAGAGTGATGAGGAGGTAAATCTTTGTTTCTACATTGTAAGGTAGAGAAGGGGGGATGAGGTAAACATCCGGAATCTTATCTTAATATATCTTTTTCTTTTATCTTTGCAGGATGAAGATTTTGTTGCGGACAAGGATGATGAAGGCTCACCTACTGATGATTCTGGGGAAGAGGGATCTGATGGCAGCTTAAGCGGGGGCGAGAAAGAGGTATCTTGTTTTTATATTTCCATTATTCACTCACTGTAATTTGATGCTTCTAGACGGGGGGCTAAGAAGTGATGAATATAATTATGAATTCAGAAACCTGTAAAGAAGCCCAAAAATGATCCTTCTGCTTCTACTTCTAAACCCACTACGAGTAAGAAAAAAGCCGCCGACGATGACGGTTCAAAGAAGAAGAAACAGAAGAAGAAGAAGGATCCAAATGCTCCAAAGAGGGCTATCAGTGCTTTCATGTTCTTTTCACAGAGTGAAAGAGAGGTTGGTGTTCAGCATTTTAATTTATGTATAATCTACCACCTATTGAATGTCTAGTTTTCTTGCTTGCTTTCTGCTAACATGTGAAAGCAATGCATTTATGAATACATAGGGCTTTTACTTTAGTTGCCTGGCCACGCTCATGGTTAATATATAGGTGTGTATATATTGCTCTGATTATTACTTCTCCTCGATCTCTTATTGCAGAATGTGAAGAAATCTAATCCTGGAATCCCGTTTACTGAAATTGGAAGGGTTCTCGGAGATAAATGGAATAAGTTGTCAGGTGAGAGCTCATATCTATCTAGATAGATGACTGCTATTTCATAATTTGTTGATTTTGTGCTGACAGACACCGAATGTTCAAATGTGTTTTGCAGCTGAGGATAAAGAACCGTATGAGGCAATGGCACGGGCTGATAAGAAACGCTACACTGAGGAGATCACTGGCTACAAAAATCAACAATCAACAAACATGGATACAACAGCATAGAACCACTTGAATTGAAGAAGATGCTGAATATATACATACACATATGCCTAGCTTAGTTAGTAAAGAATTGAATTGATTCAAACTTTAATTTGCAACCAATTTTGGTTCAACTTTCTTCCTGATCTTAATAAAATTTGGATCTAAATAAAACAAAAGTGAATCAACAAATTCCCATGTGAACATGCATATATATAGGCAGAAGTGTCAAATAGGCCTATCTATTACTTCGAAATGCTTAATTCCCCCACCATCTAAAATATATTGTAATTAGGTCGGCACACTTAACTTATAAATTTGTTCGATTAGGCTTTTTCGCAGGTTATCACCCGGTTGCCTATCCAGCTGGTTGACGTAGAAAATATCTTTAATGACATGGAATTACTTAGCAAACCTTAAAACACTAAATCACTCTCCATCTCCTCTCAGTTCAGAACACGAAATCAGCTCTCCATTCTTCAATCTTCAATCGCGATTCGCCATTTGTGAGGGTTGTTTCAACAGAGCTGGGTTTCGTCAAGTTTCAATTGTATAATGTCATCATCTTCTGCTTCATCTAGCGTGCGAACTAACTTGAAGTATGAGCCTCCTATGTACTGTCGATGTGGGTTTCGTCAAGCTTCATCTCCCTTTGCACAACCCGAGATTATGGGAGGAAATTTTATGGATGTAAAAAATAGAAGGTGACCCGAGATTATGGGAGGAAATTTTATGGATGTAAAAAATGGAAGGTGTGTTTATATCCTTGTTTAAACAGTTAATGTCATCATCTTCTGCTTCATCTAGCGTGCGAACTAACTTGGAGTATGAGCCTCCTATGTACTTTCGTGTTTGAGAGGATAGGAGATGGAGAGTGAATTAGTGTTCTAAGGTTTGCTAAGTAATTTCATGTCATTAAAGATATTTTCCACATCAACCTGCTAGCAACCGAGCCTGCGAAAAACCTGACTTGATTACAATATATTTTAGATGGGGAAATTGAACACTTCGAAATAGTAAATGGGTCTATTTGACGTACACTTCTCCCAATGATATATAATTTTCTATATTATATAATTCCAATTCCTTCTAATATTATATTATTTTGTTAAAATATAGAACATCTCCATTTGTGTGGGTTATCAAGTTTATGTCAATTTTTTTTTTTAAAGAAAAAAAAAAGAGGTGCTCTGAAGCGTAACGATAGTAACTTTTTTTTATTCATTTTGTGGGGTCCACTTTTGAGACAAAAAATCAATCTTCATGCAACACTTGTTTAATTTTTTCTTCTCTCCCTTTTTCTTCTCTTCCACCTCAACCACGAACTCTAAAAAAATCAAGTAAAATTCACAATTGGGGATTCCTTAATTGGTTTGAAACTATTGATTAATGTAGTACATAGTCAAGATTCAAGAAGTTGTTGATAAAGGGATTCATATATTATATGGGAATGATTACAATTTAATTGTGAAATGAAACTGGAAGACTAGCTAGCTAGCTAGGTACATATATTAGTAACAGAGCTAGGCTGGCGTAATTATACATATTGTTGGTGCCATTAAATGGGAATATATAGATCGATAATGAGAGTGAATGATCAGCACTTTCGACCTGCCTTGCAGTGGAGTGCTCCTGCAAACCTGGTCAACCAAGTCACTTCCTCTCCCTTAAATGCTGTTATGCCATCATACAACTGAGGATGCTTGTTGATGAAGTTTGGATCTCCTGATTCCACGAAGAATGCCCCATTCATGAACACATCTCCTTGTGATCTCCATGTCCACTGACTCCACTCACCTTCCGTCGCGTAAAGCCTCTTAGTTATCTCTTTCTTGAAGGTGTCATGTGGAGGGGCTATGTATCGGTTTCCCTGGCTGATAATGGTCGGGTTCTTACTACCCCCAATGGCGTACATATTCCAGTGAGTGTAATCGTTATTGACGACGTGGATGTATCCCCATCTGCACCTCGGCATCCTCTGCACCAATCTTTTTCCGAAGTGGTTGAATGCAACCGTGATTTGCATCATCTTATCTATTGAGGTACTGTCTGCAGCACCAAACAGCATTACCTGCACCCATGCATGCATGTATTACAGTCAAGTTTTCGATCTCACCCTAGGAGCCCACACTCCAGCCCAACAGAATAGTGGGTGGATTGATAAATTAACTCAGCAACCATGACTCATGAGATGCATGGGAGGATATGTACCCACAAATAGCTCATGGTGTGTTTGGTTCTCACATAAGAATCAGAATAGGATTGAGAATCAAACACACCAGAATTATATATTATGGTTAAATTACCTCGTTATGGTCGGTGAAATGGCTATTTGAAATGGTGATACCGGTGGAGCCTTCGATGGCGTCGATGAGGCCGTCCCGGCAGTTTCTCATGGAAAGGTGGTCGATCCAAATATCAGATGAACCGAAGATGGAGATGCCGTCGCCGTCGCTCATGGTGCGGAGCCCAAAGTGGTCCTCCGCGTCTCTCACCAGGCCGCCGCTGCCTCGCACGATGTTGTGGATGTAAATGCCGTGGATGATGACGTTCTTCACGAACTGGAGGGTGATGCCGGCGCCGCCGCTGATGTGGACCCTCGCTCCGCGACCGTCGATGGTCTTGTCCCCCTGCATTATCAGCTCCTGGTGAAGCCTGATGATCATGTCGCGTTTGAAGATGATCCACAATGGCTTCTTTTGTATCACCGCGTGACGGAGGGTCCCCGGCTTGGGGTCCGTCGGATTGTCCGAGCTGTCCGTCACCACGTAGATCCTCCCGTTCTTGCCGCCGGTGGCTTTCCGCCCGAACCCTAGCCCGCACGCCGCCAACCTTTTCCGGTTACTTTCCCAATTTGAATGGCACCGCCAGCAACGGTCAATTGGATTTGTAGCGTTGCATGGCCCTTTATAATGCTTGCTTCTTAGTAGCCTCCGAGTTGTGCTGTTACTTGCTATGGCTTCCCTTATCTCTAATACCCTGCAGCAAAGTTTGTCAGATAATTAACTTAGTAACTAAAACGTTACAAGTTTCACTCATATAGATTGATTTAGTGACAGGCTAGTCATACATTTTTCCAAATAAGAATCAAATTTTATTGGTAAACTCGCACTTTTGGTCTTATGATTATTGTGGCATTATCCACGACTTTTAAACCTTACCATCTCGGTCCATGACTATTATTTTTTTAGTCCATTTTCTGTCAATTTCTCACCGGGGTAAAAACCATTTTTCGACCAAAACAGATTGAAAAATTGACAGAAAATAAACCGAAAAGACCATTTTCTGATAATACCACTATAGTCATGAGACTAAAAATGCAATAAACTGACAGACAAACTCGCAGTAGTAACAATATTATCTTAACAGAAAAACAAACGTACTTCTGAACTTCACGGTTGAATGCAACCGTGACATTAAAAGGATCAGATTCATATGTGTTGAGGGCATGCTCCCGAGCTTCTAAGTGACGCCTCCGCCACACATCATCGAAGTCACCAATATGAGCCATGAGAACGGGAGCCATGGCAACACAAGTGAAAAACAAAATGATCATAAATCCCTTCATTTTGTTGGAACAAATAATATTTTTTCCCAACAAAAATATTATAATTTAAATTGATATTTATATATTTATACACTTATTTTTTGCAACAAATAATATTTGTTGCTCTGACGCTCTGTGAACAGAGCTAAGTGTGATTTCAAAAATGTTGTGTAAAATCTATATATATAGTGATATAATGTGTCCGAATACTAGGGACAACCACAACTTTTTTTAAGGTTAATATTTTATCTCGTCAACAAAACACAAGTTTAAGAATGGAGCAAAATTATTTAATCACACAAAAAAGATAAGGACTAGAAAAAAGAAAAAAAAAAAAACAGTGAAATTAAATGTGACCATTAATCATTCCAGAACATTTTATTGTCTGCTATGTCGTTATTGGAACAGTTTTCTTTTTTGAATTGTCATATCATACTACAAAAACTTTCATTTAAATATCTTAAAACATTTTGATTCACCGAATATATATATATATATATATATATATATATATATATATATATATATATATATAATAGAATAACATTTTTGAAAAATATAGCTATTAAGTCATTTTATTCATACCAGGAGTCCAGGACTATGTGGTCTAATGGTACCCGGGTTGAACTTCCATTTGAAAAGTTGTAAGTTTGAGACTCAATGAATGCGTTATTAGCTCTTTGTGTTTCATTAGGTTGAGCTAGTAGCATTCAAAAAAAAAAAGTCATTTTATTCATATTCTCCTTATAAAGGGAAAGTATTACGTGTACTCCCACTTTATACTCCCAGACCTACATGAAAAAAATAACTTATCAGAGTCCGCCGCATCAAGGAGTAAAATTGAGGGAGTAAGATTTGGGAGCACATGCATTATAAGTGTATAACTCCTTATAAAGGAAGTAGCTATTCCAATCGGGAAAAGACGGGTGTTAGACTATTTTTGAGTTCTTAAGAATAATAACTCATTTCTTATAATATTTAATTTATCCTTACAAATTTTTGTTATGTATTATAATGCGTGCAATATATATATAGATATATTTGTTTGGACAATAATTTTATCTTTTAAATGTTTATTGTACCGATCCGACAATAGAATGAAATAATATTCTATTCATTGTTTATTCAATTCCTTATGGAATCTGATTCATATTCCTATTCCCTTTAAATTCATTATGTGATTAAACGTGCAGTTAAAATTATCATAACATCGCCAAGCTTCTATTTTCCCTGTTTATAAATAGTAAGGACCACATAAATTTAGGTCCCCGCTAGCACAAATGAAGGTATAAGCTCCAACTTTAAGTTGATGCCCTCTTCAAAGTGTAATAGAAGTCACCACTAAGGTAAACCTTTTATGATCAACCATTGACCCCATATAAGTTTCCATATTCCATATCTATGGGTGTTGGTGTAATTTCTATTTTTTACCATTAATTTTAATTTGTTTCGCTATTAATTCATAATAACTTTAAAAATAGTTCCACTTTTAATCTTAAGAAAAACTGTACGTTTGGTCTCTAAATTATAAGATAAATGTAAATTTAGTCCATAATGTAAATATACTACTTAATTAGTCACAAAAATGATTGTTTTCCTTCTTCAAATGGCCAAAACAAATCAAAGGTAAAAATACACCATAGTTTAGTGATTAAAAGTGGAATAAACTCGAAAAAGTGGCCAACAATTGAGATAAAGAATTTTTATAATTTTTGGTATAAAACATAGAGAATATGTGAGTGTTGCATATGATGCTGACATGTCAATAGTCCATTTCTGCCACCACCATTCCCAGGAATTTAGAAAGGTGCGAAAAACCTGCAGTTTTACCGGGGAGGAAGGAATGTTCTAATCTTAGTCTCATCTCTTACATTTGAATACAACAAGCTTAATATGTGGAAAAAAGCAACATAATCGCCCCGAAAGGGATCAGCAAGGGGATGAAACACAATTCTCATACCAAAATATCTATGTCCGAACAAAATCTTAGTCTGATTTATCTATCCTATGTGGTTTGCAGACTATTACATATACATGAGCGGGGTTTAAAAGTAACATGATATGATAATTATCATAAGATAATAACATGACCTGAAAAGCAAAAGATGGCTTGACCAAAAAAGGCATCCACCCATGCCCTTCCCTGCCAAAAATATTCACTTAGCAGCCCTCACACCATCAGTACAAGGCAGGAAGGAAGTTACAACATTGTAACATTCCTTCCTTCCAAGAAAGATAACGCCCCACAAAGGGGCACGATTTCACTCGAAAACATTTCGTCATCGCCCAGCTATAAACACCAAGTTTTATTCAAGATAGACACGAAAGAACAAAAAGAGAGTCGGGTGTTACATGACGCTTCAGAAACATCCATGCGTTTTTCATAAACTCCAAAAGAAAGAGGCATCCCGGCTTTTCTCTGTCAAGAGTTCTTACCTTCAAAAGCAAACACCCAACATCACTTATTCTCGCACTTTGACTATATATAGCAAAAATTCCCCATTCTGCCCTGTTGCTCACTCATCAACTCAGTTACTTTCTTTGCAATTCACTTCTTTATTCCCTCTGTACTTTCATCATAACCTGACAGTTAAAGGCAGAGCAAATAAAGAAAATATCAAATACTTCACACATGGCTCGCTCATTTAAATCATGTAAGGACTATATTTTTAAGCTATAAACTTCCCTCGTAAGATAATTCTAATTTACAAAATAGCATCTAGCAAAGTCGTAACAATTTGTCAGATATTTCTTCCTTTTTTTTGGTGGGAAGTAAAAGCATAGCAGATTAGCAGACTATAATTTAATATAACCACTAAGAAATGGGGCACTTAACAAGGAGGTGAAGAATAAAGGAACAAAAATCCAGTCATTTTTAGCCTTCTTTGAAATGCAAGAACAATTAAAGCCTATTGGGCTAGGGTTAGGTGAACACCCTAGTCTTTGACAAAGGGACCGATGAGCCAAGAGGGAAATAGCCAGGTTAAAAGCAATATTAAAGTGTTTGCGTATGTACTCAGTAATTTGGACAACAAAGAATGCAACCATCAAAACTGTATGAATAACTTGCAGCCATTAAAACGGTGGGAACAGTGAATTATGTAAAAGAGGAGCTTAAATATATTATTCAAAAATTAACAAACTGATAAAACAAGGCACACGCTTTTGTGCAACATAATAATAAATATAAGATCTGCCCTTATATTTCAAAAGGCAATTCAAAAGGCTTAAGCAGAAAGAATCAAACCCCAACAGAATAAAAGGGCGTCTCACAGTTGTTTCATGATATGAAAAGATAGAGAACACTATCATGATATCCCTAGCCGATGTCTACCATGTTGTGGAAGCCACTGTCCCTTTATATTTTGCCATGATCTTAGCCTATATATCTGTGAAATGGTTGAAACTTTTTACGCCAGAACAATGCTTGGGCATCAACAAATTCGTGGCAAAATTTTCAATCCCATTACTATCTTTCAAAGTGATCTCAGACAACAACCTCTACAAAATGAACCTCAAGATTTTGTATGCAGATTTCCTTCAAAAACTTCTCGCTTGCTTTATATTGGCAACTGCAGCCAAACTGAGTTCCAGAGGAAGCCTGGTTTGGGTTGTAACGGGTCTTTCAGTCTCAACATTGCCTAATACTTTGATCCTGGGAATCCCGCTTCTGAAGGCCATGTTCGGAGAGGAAGCAGTAGACCTTCTTTCCCAGATAATCGTTCTCCAGAGTTTAATTTGGTACAACCTCCTACTGTTCTTGTTCGAACTCAATGCCACAAAAGAATCTTACTTGATTCCATCATCAGAGATTGAAGGTATGTGAAGCGAATTCCCATATCAACTTGTTTTCCAAATCTAGAATCTGTTTTTAGTTGGCATCTTTACAGTAATCCTCTATCAAACTACTCTATTTGCACTGTTAAGACTTAAGACTCGATTATTGTTGAGCTGTAAACACGTTAAATAACCTGGTCCAAAAGATCAAGATTCCTAGCTGGCCCCCACAAATTTAGTACCTGCCCGGCCTCTCTATTCAGGTGCTATAATGACTATGCACAGTAAACACCAGATTTATATTATTTGAATTTGCAAATTAATAATAATAGCAATAACAAAGAAAGATTTTTCTTTCTCCCAAAAATAAACAAGAAGTTTCCTCCTTACAAGAATTACACCATGATGAAGCAGAAATCAAGTTAGTTTTTGACACCCTTGAAAGTGAAAACCTTCACTTAGGCTTTTAGAACCAAAGAGATTTTTTTTGGTTGAAAGAAGTTAGGGAGAAATGTAAATAAGCAACTAGCTTCAAATTTAAGAAGAATATTGGTTTGTGGAAAGTTGGATGATTATACCAAAGGCTACAAGTGTGTTTATAGAGGAAATACGAATGCTAATTGACTAATCCTACCAGGAATCATAAAAGAACACTTGATTTCAAAAATAAACAAACCAATAATTAATAATTACTATTATTGATAGGTTCCTAGAAAAGTAACCCCAACCTTTGCAGGTTTCTAAATCTTTTGCCCTGAATCACACAACACCGAGGCCACATTTAACTGCTCAAAAACACCTTTTGATTTCAGAAATTTTCTCTAGTTTAGCAAGCATTTTCCAGAAGTCTAGGCTACATATGAATCATGTCTTAAGATACCAAATGGTTCAGAGTAAATATAGTCTAGAAATGTATGTTTCTGTGCTGCCTTTCTCCTTAACAAACACCTATTCATTTCCAAGTGGAGCAAGAGGCACCTGAAGAAGCACAGGCAAAGGAAGAAGGAGAAGAGGAAGGAGAAACCAGATCTCCAAGAAAGATGAAACTTATGCATATCCTAATATCTGTAGGAAAGAAGTTCATAGCCAATCCCAACACCCATGCAACTTTGGCGGGTCTTATTTGGGCAAGCATCCGTTTCAGGTAAAACCCTTACTGATCTTCACTAAAACCTAAAATTAACCAGTCTCATAGATAAGATTTGCTTTACCAATCAATAAATACAGATTTTGTTTGTTCTAGCATGTCTAAGAAATGAGGTGCAGGTGGGGACTGTCTCTGCCAACAATTGTTCAAAAATCAATATCAATATTGTCAGATGGGGGACTTGGAATGGCAACTTTCAGTCTAGGTATACAATAAAATCAACAAAAATAACGTAGATTACTTGTAAATAAAGTGGATATCAAGGCTTCTCACTCTGATTATTTAATAGGCCTTTTCATGGCTTCGCAAGCTAGCATTATACCATGTGGTACCAGAAAGGCTATATTGGCCATGGCCATGAAGTTTTTAGGTGGACCAATTCTCATGTCAGCATCATCACTTGCTATTGGGGCGAGGGGAAAATTGCTTAGAATTGCCATAGTGCAGGTGCAAAAATATTACTTATTTTCCACAATCTATTGTATATATACTCTACACGTTAATGATCATATGCATAATGCAGGCAGCTCTTCCACAAGGAATTGTTCCATTTGTGTTCGCCAAAGAGTATAACGTGCATCCAGACATCCTCAGCACTGGGTACTTGTGCAACATTCTAACTTCTCAATACCTCAAGACAGTCGATAATAAACACCTACAGTTCTCATCTGTTTTTTTATTTTTATTTTTTAATTTCAGGGTAATCTTTGGAATGCTGATTGCCTTGCCAATTGCATTGGGATACTACTTCCTCTTGACAATATAAGTTGACACATTTGACAAGGAACTTGGAGTCTCAACCGATTAAGAGAAAACAGCTTGATTACTAAGTGTAGCATGAAGAATTACCAAGAAAAAAAGAATGTAAATTTTAGACTTTTTTCATTCTTTAAGAAACTGATGACAATTCCTATATTAGCATACAGGCAGCATGTATAATAAACAGAGAAGAAAGCCATTAACTTGAATTGTTTTATCTCATACACTTCTTCTTGTTCCGCAATTCGGTTTCAGTAGATAGCATTCAAGCCAGCACAAACTATTCACAACAAAAACTAAAGCTTAAGAAGCAATTATATTCTCAGAAAACGAGATATAGAGAAGTGAGAGAGAGAGAGAGAGCATACTTCGCCGATTTGCAGGATACCGGCGGCCGGAGATTAAGCTGGACTATCGCCGACTATCCTTCCCCGGAATGTAGAACAGTGGAAGGAGCTTGGACCAGACGTTATGCCATGGATAACACCGTTCCAATGGTGTTAGTACACCGTTACCTTCTTCTTTTCTTTTCTTTTTTTTCTTAATTAATTGCGTGACTTTTCTTCTTTATTTTCACATTTTGCGGTTTCACTTTAATTTGAGGTGAACAAAGATTTCGGACATTCATAAATTATGAATTCATGCCTGCACATTCACTTTGGAATTATGCCTACACATTCCCGTCCGAAATCACGGACATTCATAAATTATGAATTCATGCCTGCACATTCACCTGGGAACCATGCCTACACATTCACTTTGGAACCATGAGATTATGAATTTTCTGTTATAAGATTATGAATTTTCTGTTATGAGATTATGAATTTTCAATTGTGAGATTATGAATTTTCTGTTATGCGATTATGAATTTTCATAAAATTCATAATCTCATAACAGAAAATTCATAATTTGATCAAACGCGCGTCGTTAACTCCACATTCGCGATTTTTTTTTTTTGCCTAAAAACGACGTCGTTTTGCCTTGTGTTCACCATTCTCGGTGAACACGATTCCATAGCATAATTTGCGAGCTTGGACCTCGACACTCTCCGCTAAACTGGGCCAAGTTTTGAGCAATCATTATTATATTGACTATGTTTTACACAACTGATAACAAATAAAAAACTTTGTCAGTATATCAATAATGAATTTTTATTTTTAATATATTAAAAATAAATTTTTTATAGGTCATATAACGTTGTATGAATTATGTTATTATGGTCTACATAAAAATTTGTCCGCATTAAATGTGCAATTTTACATTAGTACAAGCATACACCATGTGGGCACATCCAAGTTGATATGTGTAATGGTCCAAGCCGAGGAAGGAAACGATGTCGTATGAATCGCTGAGAAACAAGAAGCAGTTATGGCAGCTGTAATAATCCAAACACAGTGTTTTGAAGGAGGCCGTTGAAGTAGTTGGAATCAGACCGCAGCGACGTCGTTTATACTAATAGCGGTTAGTGGTTAGGAAGTCTGATGAATGTAATAAAACAGTAGGTCTGAACTGTAATGGCTATGTGTGATGACTAATGCAACTTTGATTCTCTTCTTCTCTAAGCTTCTTCTTCTCTCTAATCTCTATCACCTCTTTCTTACATCTAAACCCTAAGGGGGCGTTTGGTTCAGGTTATATAACATAACCAAGGGAATGTGACATTCCAAATCTCACATTCCGGTGTTTGGTTCATATTATCATAGGAAATCTAACATTCCCAAAGAATGTCACATTCCCTCCACATAGGATTTTGAAGGGAATGTGATTCCCTTCAAAATCTTAGGTAATGTAAGATAACATTGGTTATGTTAGTTTATATATATATATATATATATATATATATATATATATATATAATTATTTTTGTAATTATATATATTTTTTATTTTTATTATGTTATGTTAGCATATAAAATAATTTTGTTTCTCAAGTTCAAGATTTTAGTTAATATTTTAAAATCACGTAATTATATATAATACCGTTATCTTATTTATTTATTTTAATTTTTAAATTTATTAAAATATATGAAAATATGTTAAGGATATTATAGTGTGTATAAAAAATAACCCTAAACCATTATATTACATATCCAAATTTTAACCAAACACAGTAATCTAACATTCCCAGTAATTTAATATTCCTAGCAATCTAACATTCCCTAAGGTAATCTGACATTCCGTGAACCAAACGACTCCTAAGGAACACTACATCTGATACCACATACCAGAGCCCTCAATGGAGGCACGAATGAACCAAGTGGAACTTGCGATGGCTGATCTTAGCAGCCAGATGGAAGGCCATAAGAGATCTACATAAGACCTTGTAAAGAATCAAATTAAAAGTTGCATTAGTCATCACAAATAGCCATTACAGTTCAAAGCTACTGTTTTATTACATTTATCAGACTTCCTAACCACTAACCGCTATTAGTCTAAACGATGTCGCTGTGGTCTGATTCCAACTACTTCAGTGGCCTCCTTCAAAACGCTGCGATTGGATTATTACAACTGCCATAACTGCTTCTTGTTTCTCAACGATTCATACGACAACGTTTTCTTCCTCAGCTTGGACCATCACAATATGTTGTTGACTTATAACAATGAGGTTACAATTACTTTTAGCGGAATAATCTATTAGTCTTATTTATTTAAATCGATCAGTTATAACAATCTAAATTAAGTTATTTTCTTGTATTGAAGTTACTTTCTTGTATCATTTATTTTACGTAATACTCTGTATACACTTTCGAGTAATGGTTGCGGTATTCTTTGTGACAAAAAAATAAAAATAAAATCATACTTCACGTGTAAGTTAAATTCCATATATAGCCCTAGAAACAAAGATTCTTTCCAGCTTCTCAGAGTGATAACCGACGGTCCGGATGGGATCAAGCCACATAATTTCACATCAACGGTTCCGTTTGCGCTCGGAGAAACACAGGAAACTCCCCTACACCGTTCAAAACGGAGCTCCGAATTAGGGCTTTGCTGTATACTGATCTACACTTCTTCTGTTCCTCTCACTAGTGTTCCGAAGCTTCAGAGCTCTTCTCCGGTGTTCTGCGTCCTTCGACCTCTGGTCTCCGATTCAAGCATGGGCAAGGGGCCTGGTCTTTACACCGACATCGGCAAGAAAGCTCGAGGTCTCTCTTTCTCTCTCTCTATCTCTCTGTTCATAGGCGTAGAAATGTGTATTGAAGCTTATTCTCTCTAGTCGTAGACTCGTAGGCGTAGAATTGTGCATTGAAGCTTATTAATAGATGCATGCAGCTCGATTTCTTTTTGCCGTGATGGATTCTTCTTTTCTAGTTTATGATTGCTGATATGTTGGAGTGTTTTCATTTTTGTTGAATTAGATCTTCTGTACAAGGATTACCAGACCGACCACAAGTTCACGATCACTACGTACTCTCCCACTGGAGTTGTGAGTTTCTCCTTCGTTTTAGTTGGATCTGTGCAGTAAATATTAATGTAGTTTAGATTTTCTAAGTACATAGGAATGGTTGCTGTTTTTTGTCTAGTTGAACAGATAATATTAACTACTGAGTTTATGAAGTTTATTTGTCTGACCAAAATTATTGAGAGTTTAATTGTGAATCATTCTCTACTCCATGCAGCATGAGACCATTTGCTTCATTAAAGTATATTGACATGCTTGAAGAGCACTCGTGTAGTTTTATGAGGTGGTGATTATAGTGGTTTAGTGTTTCTGGTTGTTTTGGTCAAATATGTACATCTTCTCAGGGGTGAAATGTGATTGATCCATATGTAGATAAAACCCTACTGTCATATGTGGCATTAGTGTTGTTCAGCTGCAAAATCATTTGTTGAGATTGTCAGGGATTGCTCCTAAATATTTGAAGTTGTGATTGCTATTTTAGATTGCCTGCAGTCATTTATATTTGCTAATGTATTTGGGGGTTCTCTCTTTCATTATCTTTTTTTTTTTAACAGGCTATTACCTCATCGGGAATAAAGAAAGGAGATCTGTTTCAAGGTGATGTTAACATTCAGTTGAAGAACAAGAATATCACCACAGATATTAAAGTGGACACAAACTCGAATGTGAGCCTCCCCTTATACATTTACTTCACCTCATATCATGCCTATTGCATAATATTCTATTTATCAGTATCGTGGACAGGATTGATACATTGATTCTATTTTTTGTTTTAAAAGTCATTTCCATCAGAGTTATTTTTAGCTTTTTTGTTTGTGGAGTGCTTTGACTTTTCCTTTTTCTTTTTCTTTTTTTGAATGTGTAAATCACTGCCAGCCTGGCACCACTGTGGTTGGCATGGCAAGTTGTTATTGGTCTTACTTCTGTGTAAATTGGGTAGTGGGGGACACTGCAACCTGCGTGCAAAGATTTTCTTGACAATTAAAGCAAAATGTTCACGGATGTAGTCTAATAAGGCTTTTTATCATTTGTCTTTGTATGGCTATTTGATCACAGTACATACCTACTTGGATCTTCTGGCAATATTATATCCTGTGAATGTTTACCTTTGCTGTTGAGTAGCTGATCATTTTTCTAACATCCCTTGTCATGGTAGAGTTCTAGCATTGCTAGCCCTCCCTAGGGACTTTGGAAGAGTCAATCTTCTAATTTATGCTCTTCTACTGGTCGGCTTTAGTTTAGGAGCACACCTAATTGTTTGGTGTCTCAAATTTCAGCTTTTCACAACTATCACTGCTGATGAACCTGCTCCTGGTTTGAAGACAATATTTAGCTTCAGAGTTCCTGATCAAAGATCAGAAAAGGTAAGTAGCTATTCTATTTTTGGTCATTATGTTTGTAAAAGAATATATAATATTTGTAAGTGCCCACTTTTTATGTCTGCCTTAAGTGTGTAGTCAGTTTTGTACTTACCTGATTTTCTTGGCCATACAGTTTGAACTTCAATATTTACATGACTATGCTGGAATAAGCGCTGGTGTTGCTTTGACAGCCAGCCCTGTTATCAACTTCTCTAGTGTAGTGGGAAGTAATGCACTTGCACTTGGAACTGATGTGTCTTTTGACACAAAATCAGGAGCCTTTACCAAATATAATGCTGCTGTAAGCTTCACAAATTCCGACCTCATTGCTGCATTGATCTTGTAAGTGATTATTTTGTTCAAATATATAATTGGATAGTCTCTAGCTTTGAACATGTAGCTTATCATAAGTCAGGCAGTGAAAAAAATTGCAACTTCAATTCAACTTT